TTTTTTTTTTTTTTTTTAAATAGACGCAATGCCCCCCTAATGGGTCATCATCCATTTACTTTACCGCAATATTACTTTATCACTTTAGTAAATTCTAAACGTATTTTGGCCAAGCAATTGAAAAAGAATTCGCATTAAGTTTAAACACTTGAAGTTAAAAGCATTAATAAATGATAAAATTGTAACCATTGGCGTATGAAATGAACTTACCTCTAAATTATATAAAACTTGACTTGGACTTGCTGTGAAAAATAATGAGCCAACAGAGGTGGTTGACTCGTCGATGTTAGGATTTTGCGGGACTTCGTCCTCTTTATAGCGCCCGAAAAACCACTGAAGTCGCGCCACTGTAAGAGTATCTGGAGGAACTAATTGCAATAGATGACGCGCACCATCTCGTAATTGGGCATGTTCAAGTACACAACCCAAATCGGCCAATTGAAATAAGAAGTTAATGTAGTGAGAGCTCTGTGATAGCAGCTGAAATAATTGATATAAAATATAAATTAATGTGAAATAATTATAAGTGAAATAAAAGGACATGCGAAGGCTTGTGTTGGAATACATTGCTTCGACAATAATAGAACGAGCTTAGCAAATTAAATCAAGATTAAATAAACGGATCGATTTATCGTAGAAAATTTAAGAATTATGAAAAATGGTGTTAATATATCATTTTAGAATGCTTTAGCGGCTGCTGTACACTTAGGAGGATCAAAAGCTTCGGAAATTGTGCATAAATCCAATAGGTCAGTTAGGTTAATTAAATTTACAATAAGATTAAGTGAAAATAACCCACCACTCCTGGCAAACTGCTTTCAGCTTCTTGACTCGATGGATGACAACCTTCCATTTTACTGTACGGATGATGGGGTGAACTAGTGGAACTGTCGGAACTACTATCGGGAGAACTAGGCATGTTGGTATTAGTCTGACTAAGTTTGACAGATAACAGCTAAAAAATAATTATTATTCAGTCACTCGTTATTTATTCCATTCACTGCGCGATAATGTTATCGATATAAAATTTACCATTTTATCTCTCAAAGGAATCTGAGAAAGGAGTTTTCTATCATCGGTCTGTTCTAATGAATCGCCGTTAGTGTATATATCTAATTTGACATTTGAATCGTTAGCCTTAAATCTGCGTAATAACTGACGTCTTAAAGATGCCAATGTATCATTCGTATGGGTAAATATTTCAATATCGTCATAGTTGCGTCCTGGATTATTAGCTAATCTTATAATTAAACATAAATGCTTGCCTCGTGCAGCCCTGTAATTCACATGGAAATATGTTAATTATCAAGATCCCCGACCCTTTAAACTCGATAGCATAAATAAGGGAAAATAGAAATATAATAGTACATGGTGGATACGAAATTTCAATATGAAAAACAATGTCATATGTTAAAAACATAGGTTTGTAATTTTCTTTTTTTCTTTTTGTTTTTTTTTTTTGTTTTTTTTTTTGTATTTTTGTTTATTTTAAGAAAAGCAGTAAATAAAGGGGCAATCGCTGGCTTTAGGAGTTTCAATTTACTTAAATGAAATTCAAAATAAATCCAACGATGAATTATTTATTATTTGATGGTAATGCTCGATAAAATTCCCATTACCTATGCAAAGGAAGAATTTTTCTTTCGCCAGGAAAAACCATGTCGCACTCGTTGAGGTATTCTTGTAAAACTTTCATTACACGACACATTTTCACTGCTTCAGATTTTATAACATCCCCAATATTATCGTCTTTATCTTCTTTATTATCTAATGATTCTTTCCTTAATATCGACACCGTATCAAAATGTGCCTTTAAACGATCCATGCATTCTGCTATGTAAGTTTCGTGAAAAGCAACTATTGACGATTGCAATCGTGGCCCTAAGTTGGTGCTAACTTCTTTTAAAAGCTCTATACCTCGATTTGCTATTTCTTCGGGGCTGTTGGTAACCACCTTAAATAAAATAGGGGTTCAAAACATTTACAAACGTTTCCTTTAATAATCTAGATTGTTTGTCTTTAATTCGTTAAAGCATTTAAATGAAAGACAGCTCTATATACATACAAAAATATAACGTTTTTATAAATATTTTTGTTCATAAGTACAATTAATTGTGCTGGGCACCAGAAAAAATAAATAGCCATTATTTTCACACAGGCGGTCTAACATAAACAGGACTATTTTTCATTTATATTTATCGACAAACGTATTGTCAATCTCTCAATGAATAAGTACATAATAATCGACATATTTATTATATTCCTATTCATTGTTATTTCTTGAAAGTTAATATTTGACCTCGTAAGCAATAAATTGCAGTTAAATTGGGAGAAAGTGATATACAAACCCGCCACAGATATTCCGTTCCAATTAAATCGACATCATCCATCAATACTTTACGTGTCGTTTGTTGCAACTTCCCTTCCTTAAAATTAACGGCTTTGAAAAATCTTTCAAAGCATTTTATACCACTTTCCGTAAGCAAGGTTGGATCCAATTGCAATATATTATTTTCAAAAAAGTCCTTATTAATCCCGGGATCAAGATCGGGTTCGTCTCCCATTAACTTGGAAAACCACTTAAAGCACGCTTCTCTGTCCGTTACAAAAACTGCATACTCTGCCAGAGATTCCCATATTTGCTTTGCTTGTTCTGCACAAAGCCACAACTGGCCATCCTGTAAAATTTTTAATTAAAGCACAGCCAATAGCTTTTTGTGTAATCGACAAAACAACACTGAATTACGAATTAATTATAACTTCAAATTAAATTTATATTTTGAGAAACAGATTGTTCCCAATAATACCTTCAATAAAAATCTCAAAAAGTTGAGCCTTTCTTGCACTTGCATAATGTGATTGTAACGACGATCAGGAGTATAAGTGTTAGCATCCATGTCTGGATTTTCTTTAAACAATCGCCGTACTTTATCCATATATGTTGTTAAACTCTGAGTTATAAGAACAACCACGGAGTGATTATTTTGAAGACGCTCTATAACTTCTTGCCTGAACAAAGAACGGAGAACGAAAAATAAAACAATGAAAATAACAATCGACAAATTGTTGTGGAAATTATTATCAATTGAAATTGAAAGTAGAAATGAATGGGTGTCCCCACCTATAATATGTATGATGAGTACGCTGATTGTGAGCCACGTTTGGATTAGATTCATAAAGACAACAAATTTCACGAATTTGCTTAAGTGCAGGAAGTGCCCACTTATCGCCACTTTTTAACTCTTCTACACACTTGTCAAGCCATATCGTTTTCTGAGCATCTCGCTCTTGAGAGCAAGAGTAGTCCAATATCTTGATATGGGCGTTTAAAGCCTGATCCATAATTTCCGTCGGCAACTTATCGGAATGGGCCACGCTCCAAAAGAGCATCAGTACCTAAAACGTTTGTATAACATTTACTTTTATTTATAGAATTCATAAATTTGTAATACTTGGTCGTCTATTCTTTCTTTCTTTCTTTCTCTCTTTCTTTCTTTCTTTCTTTCTGTCCTCTTTTTTTACCTTATGAGCCATGACTCCATTTTTGTCATCTTCCGCGAGTCTTCGAATCAACTCGAGGAGCTTTTCTCGCTGTTTTCTGTTGGCAGTTTTCCAACTTGTCTGGAATAGGAAAAAAAAAAGATGAAAAAAAAAAAAAAAAAAATTAAAAATACATTCATCTGAGAAATAACAAAGAAATAATTGTATAAGCCGAGCACCGCGTAAAGCTCTCGCGTCCCTTTTACATTATTTATTATTAAACGATATAATTTGTAGGCATAAAGCGTCATAAAGTAGTAGTAGACGAGTCGATCGAGAGTTGTGATTATTTATTTCTATTTATCGTAAAATGCTTTTACAATAAAATGAATTTAATTGTAAAAATTAAATTACACTCTCTCTCTCTCTCTCTCTCTCTCTCTCTCTATGTGTGTGTGTGCGTGTCTATAGATGTGTATATATATATATATATATATATATATATATTTCCCCCTCCCCCGCCCCATAATACAACAAGAGCCAGCTGTTTTTTGTTTATTGTTTTTTTTCTTCATCTAAATGAAACGGCAAACAAAATCTCGCGCAAAATTTGAAAATTAAAACGTACCTTAAAGCACTCGAAAAGATGATCCAATTGCTCCGGATTAAAATCCCAAGCGACTTTAGCCAATAAATCATGAACATTTTTCACGATCGCCTCGTGCTTGCCAGCTTGCGCCGCCCATACAGCATCCAAATCCTCCAGAGATAATGCGTTTTCCTTGATAATAAAACGTAAAATTTTCTCCAGCTTTTCTACATATTGTGGCTGGTGCAATGAGTCCCTCAATACTATCTCCAGCACTCCATTTTCTTTGATCCATTGCTGTGTAGTAAATAGTTATCGGTAAAGTATGTGAAAAGTTAATAAAACATTAAATCTTTGTGCATTGGCGCGGCCGGCGACATGCACATTACCTACCGCCATGCGCTCAACTGTCAACCACTCTTCGTCCACAAAATTCGGGCCCCGATGGGTATAATGAATCACACTCGCGATTAATTTATTAACTTCGTTAAGAGCGTTCATTTTGCCGTTGAAGGAGGAAATTTGCAGAAGCCTCAATATCATTTTTAATCTTAAGATTTCTAAATTCTTAATCATTTCGTCTTGATAAGGTATTCGTGATATTATACTCTTGGCTGCTTTAATTATAGCCGATATCGCATCGTTTTTAGATTCGTTCTTTGCTTCTTTTTTCAGTTCTGCGTCGGTTAAGTTATCTAAAATTTGAGGCACCATTTGCTGAAAGCACAAGTTGCGACATTTGGTAAAAGAAATCTTCTATGGGTTATGGCTTGTTTTGTTTTGGCAATTGTTAACGAAGGCAGAAGGAACTTACCACTATGGGCATCAGATATCTACGAATTGTCGTAACTGTTAATAGCTCGCAGCAGAGGCCAAAAGGCTTTATTAATGCGTAAATAACTGGCACTGTTAGATTTCGTTCGCTTAAAAATCTTTTTAACAGAGTTTCGAAACCATGAAGCATACCAAACCTAAAAGACAAACAAAATTTAAAAAATTGTACATATTTGTTGGTTTAGAAGATCAATGGTAATTTAATGCATAGTTACTTGTTTATAAGATCAACGAGCCAGCCACGCGGATTTCTAGTATCTAGTGGAGACCGAGCGTATATATCATCATCGGAAATATTGCTATTAGGAGGTACAGTTTCCGAAGCTCGTGATGCATTAAACGTATGAAATCTAATGGTTCACAAGTTTGTTAATTATCGAAACTGCATTTTTCTATGGGGGGATTAGTTAGATTACGAAGGACTTACTTGTTATTAGGATTAAAAACCATAGCGAGTAAATCAAGAAGAGGAAACCAGTCCTCCTCCAATTTCAAGACACAAAGTTCTACTAAGCGCTGGCAATTAGCATTTATATAATTATGAATGTTTAACTTCCAAGTATTGACTGCATCGTCTGTCAAAATTTTTGTAAAAGAAATCGTTAACCCTTCCCGAAAAAAACGTTGGCATGCCTCGCTCTGAACGTCCAGTTCTAGAAAGAAACAAGTTAGCCTTAACTTTTTGACAAGTTGAAAAGCAACGCTCCACGTATAAGGCGATAAGAGCAAATCAATTACCTTTTCTGCATAACTCGATACTGGCTTGTAACAAACAGTCCAATTCTTGTTCGGGTAAAACTGGTATTACCCATCTAGGACTAGATATTTTTTCATCCAGCATAGCTAGTTTGGCATGGGGAAAATCAGGCTCCAGTCGCTGCTGATTGTTTTCCTCCGTACCAATCGTTGTCATTTCACTGGTACAAT